CCCCCCCCCCCCCCCCCAACGCCCTGGAAGCCGAAAGGGCTTGAAATGTTACACCGACAGCCCTACAGCACTGAAGTCATGCTGCAAAGCCCAGAGCACCCGGTGTGTTTCCATCGCTTTCGCCTCATCGCCACCCTCACCACCACCACCATCATCATCATCATCATCATCATCATCATAATCAGCATCATCATCATCAGCAGCAGCATCATCATCAACAACATCATGCCCATCACCATCACCATCACCATCATCACCACCATCACCACCACCATCATCATCATCGTCATCATCATCGTCATCGTCATCGTCATCGCCATCATCATCATCGTCATCGTCATCATCATCATTATCAACACTCAGGCTTATAGGCTTAGGGTCTAGGGTTTAGGGTTTAAAATCATCACCTCTCGGGCAAAGTCCCGAAACAATCATCCGGGTATTGTGCTACAGGGTGGGACAGTTACACTACATGGCTGGGTTTGGGCTTGCTTAGTGTGCTTATTAAAATTATTTACATTCAGGAATCCCTGATCGCTGCAACCTGCCATCCGCTGGTGAGGACTTCATCGTTTACGGTTGAAGGGTTAGGGCTTTAGAGCGTACGATTTAGACGGATCGCGGAGAGGCCTTCGCGACTCTGCCGTTTAGGCCTCTTAATTAGCTGCTGCATTGACAAGCAACGTCTGCTGCTGGTCTCGGCCAATGCGTATGCTGAGTGTACGCACCTCCCGAGATCGAGATTTGGCTTTGGGTTCAGGGTTTATGTTTAGGGTTTGGGGTTTAGGGCCCTAAACCCTAAACCCTAAACCCTGAACCCTGAACCGTCTTACGGTTCAGGGTTTACTGTTTGGGGGGGTCTAGAGCTTAACTTCGGATCTCGGGCTCGGGGCCGGAATAAGTCAGTTTCAGGGTCTACCCAAAGGCCCCATGGTAGATGCTTTTTGTGGCTTATATTTAGGATCCTATTGGGGAATCCCAAAAAGGAACTACTATGGGGTCTAAGGGTAATTAGCGCCTAGGGTTGGGTTTCAAGGACTCGTCCAGATCTTGCGCCGTTTCGGGCTCGTTTTGTGCAGCTAACCTAACATGTGCAATAGTAGCTCATCTTCGCGACGTACACGCAAAGCAAACCCTCGTCAATCCTGACACTTGGTGATTACAAGACATAGAGTACAATCGGTTGATTAGTGCTCTTCTTTACATTATTATTGCTCGTTATTGTATTCTACTATGCTGGGGCTGCTGGACCCTCAGAGCCTCCGGAAGTGGAGTGTTCGGGGCGAGTGGGGTACCTTCTGCGATTCATGGGCTCTTGAGTGAGGAGGTTCGTGAGTTCGTGACAGGGTTTAGGGTTAAGGGTTTAGGGCCCTGTGGTGACTGTGCTGTACTTAGCGTGCTACCGTAATGGGGAAACTTACGTCATCAGGTCAAAACTCCGAGGCCCTCAATCCGAGCAGAGAAATGTGCCACCCGAACCTCTCCATCACCGCCGAGAGCTACCAAATGATTTATGTAGAACAAGGCCGACGTTCTACGTTCTGAGTCCGGATATGAAGCAATGTGTCGATTGGGGGTTTGGTTTGTATATTTGGCTCCTAGGAATCTGGGAACCTTGGGGAGCATTTTGCATGCTGGGATCCGAATAACAACACCCTACTGCACGGTAAGATTCGCGACAAGGCCAAGTTCGCCATGCGTTGTAGGCACGCCTTTGGTAGAAAATGCTGATATTGGAAGTGCATTCGGGAACGGTATGGATTCCCTGCATGAGGCTGTGGTATAGGAGTTTCTTTGATGATGAATGATGATGGATGGGAAGTGAACCATGATGAAGAGAGTGGCAGCGACAAGAGCAGATGGCCACACAAAATGTAAGAACTACATCCAAATTGCGACGAAAGAAACCCTCCCACACGGGCACTTTCAATCGCCCGGTATCAACCATATGCAGGCTCTTCCATTAGTGGTCCGGAATTTGGAGCACCAACGATCAAAAGGGTCTCTATTGAGGTCCACTGTTTCCTGAGTATATTGTGTACCATTTACTTTCCCCTACCATCCCTTACAAACAAAGCTATGATTTATACTGTCTCTGTTTTCCAATCTCAGTTCGGAGCCCGAGTCTAATCGCAAATCCTGTCTCCCGCATCCTGAAACACTAGCCCAATCCTAAACCCTTAACCATCCACACTACAATCCCGCACCCTAGATCCTAACCCTAAAATGCCCTAAAACACCAAGCCTTCATCTCGCATACAAACATCACTAGCACAACGCTTGTGCCACAAACTACTAAAGAAGCTATGAAACCCTATAGCCGCTTCGGTCCACACTACGGGTACTTGTATCCTGTAGTTGCTCCAGTCATAGCCTAGAGACTTACGAAGTTCCATAATCAGAAAACATTGGGACTGGCGAGTCGTATACCTTGCACATCTGCGGACACCCTGTTTAAATCCCATAGCAGCAACAAGCCCCAAGCCCCTCCAAGGCCCTGCAAACCCCAGCCTCAGCCCCCATGCGCAAGGCGCAAGGTCCGCAATGGCCATCCACAGCAGCCGCCACTACGCAACTCCTGGGCGTTTTACGTGGGGATTTAGGGGTTTGGGGTCGTATACGATTTGCAGGAGGGGCGGAGGGGGGGGGGGGGTTGTCCGGATTAATTATCCTTAGTAGGGTTGAGGGTTTAGGGTTAGGTGTTAGAGTTCAAGGATATGCCACGCAGGAGTTCCCTATCATGCCGTACACCTTGGGAGCTTTGCACTTGGAGCTCCCTAAATGACACCAAATTTGGGACAATCCTCCACAATCCCGATGACATCCTACGGTGTGAAGCCCTATAAACCCGATGACGGCCGAGCACATATCACACACAACCATGACACTTTTACCCGAAAACTTTGAAAAAACACACAACCTATTAAGGTGCTTCAAAAGCCTTTACTGTCAAACGGCTCTCCGAACCCCAAACTCCCAGTACGCTTGAACCGCCCTCATCAAGGATCTATAACAGCACAGGCTTGAGGGACTGAGTTACCGAGTTCATAGGCCAGAAGTTTTTATGCTTTGGTGTCATACTCTGGCGAACAGCTTAAAGCTTGCTGATTCGGTTACTAAGCGGATGTTCATAAACCCCAAATCAGCTTTGTCGCTGACAAACAGGTTCCTCTAAGCCTCCAGAACGAAAACTGTGGTTGTTCAAGAACCAGGAACAAATTTCCTAAGAAGGCCAAAAAGATCCAACGAGTCTAGATTCTCCTTAAATCCACAGCCCTAGACCTTGAACCGTTGCGAACAAGTTCTGCTAGGCAGGTCGTCTTTATCCCCTCAAAGCTTGAAACTCGTCCGGGCCACGGTAGCCACTGTGTGTTTCCGCAGCCTCGGGCTATGGAGGCATCTTTGTAAGGCCTATATCATCTAATTGAAACCTGAACCCCCGCGATGACCCTGAACTGCAACAAGCAAGCCCTAAGCCTTCCGAAAAGCCATAATCTCTGACTGCAGATCTCGTCAGTTTGCAAGTGTGAGGCCCGAATGCTTCCGACGACTCGAACCAGGCATGTGCCTTCCCACCAAAACTAAACTCAAACCTACAGCCCGGACAACTCTGAGATTGTTGACCCTGCATTCCGCCCTGATCCTTTAAAAGACAGCATGGCATAGCCGTCAACCGTACTCAGCGTGTATGTGTGTGTATATATATATATATGGGGATACGGGGTTCTTTAGCTACACTTACATATGGCCGTCATCATGCTTTCTCCCTTTCTCCATGTATGTATGCATGCATGTATGTATGAAGGTAACTGGGTAGGTTGGGTCGGTAGGCTTGTGTGTTTGGTATGTAAGAATATGGTTACGCATGCATCTGTATTCATACGTACATGTTCATGTCTATGTCTATGTGCAGGTAAAAAGCCTCTATTATAAGTTTCTGTGTATCGTGCTTGTGTAATGTCTATAAGCATTTACATGTATACATATACGTGTTCATGCACATGTACATGTGTATGTGTCGTTACGTTTGTGTAGGCAGGTACGTGTATATGTGAATATGAGCGTATGTGTACCTAATGTATACATGTACATAACATGTAGATGTGTACATATCATATGTATAACTACGTATGTACTGTGCCTGCATGAATAATGTTCAGCGGCATTGTAGCGTAGTTGACATGGGTATTCAGCTTCGAGTTTGCCAACTACCGCACCATAACCAAGTAGTTATTTGAACTATCATGCTTCATTCTTCAAACCGACTCCGAAACAATATTCCCTAAAGCCAACAGTAGACCCCCAAAACCCAAACACAGACCCAAACCCTATTGAAACTGTGAATGCCACTGTTTCAATACCCTCAACCCTAAACCCTCAACCCTGAACTCTAAACTCTCTAAACCCTAAACCCTTAACCCTAAACCCTCTAAACCCTAAACCCTGAACCCAGGGCCGCGAAACTCGCGTGGCGGCTGCAGCGTGCTGACCAGCGGTCGCCCACATGGCGGAGCTGCATCCGGCCTGCAAGGATCTCTTTAAAGGTTTACAGGGTTTAGGGTGTTTCGGGTTTAGGGTTCTTAGGGTTCAGGGTTTAGGGTGTACAGGGTTTAGGGTTTAGGGTCTATAGGCTTAGGGTTTAAAGGCTTAGGGTTTAGGGCTTAGAGTTTAGGGTTTAGGGTGTATAGGGTTTAGGGTGTATAGGGTTTAGGGTTTAGGGTTTAGAGCTTAGGGTTTAGGGTGTATACGGTTTAGGGCGTATAGGGTTTAGGGGTTTTGGGTTTAGGGTGTATAGGGTTTAGGGGGTTTGGGGGATTTGGGATTAGTGTGTATAGGGTTTCCGGGTTCGGGGCTTAAGGGTTTAGGAGTTTCCGGGTTTAGGGTCTAGGGTTTTTTGGGATTTGGGTTTAGAGTGTATAGGGTACGCATTTGGGGCTTAGGGGTTTAGTGGTTTCGGGGTTTGGTTTTAGGGTTTGGGGGTTTAGGGATTAGGGGTTTAGGAGTTCAGGGGTCTTTGGGATTGGGTTAAGGATTTTGGGGTTTGGCTGTGGGGAGGGGTGAGGGATTTGAGGTTCAGGTGTTTGGGGTTTACGGGTTGAGGCGTTTTGGGTTTCGGCATCGAGTTGTAGGGGCCTGGTAACTAGGGCCATTATCAAGGTAACTTTTCTTATAACTACTTAAGGCCAACTTTAAACTTATAGCCACAAATACCAATGCCCATGATCCTTACAACCCTAGACCCTTATAGATCCCTCTAAGGAAAGCTGTAAGGAACCCTGTAAGTTACTAAGTCCCATGATCCTGCAAGCAGGGCATCTCCAAGCCTAAACTCTAAACCCTGAACCCTGCAACCCTCAAACCCGAAACCCCAAACCCTACATTCGACTATATAGGTACTTAGGACCCAAGCCCTACAACCCCAAACCCTAAACCCTCAAGCCTACACCCTGAACCCCAAACCCTAAAACCCTACATTCCACTATATAGGTACTTAAATCCTAAACCCCCTTTTATTTGGGGAAGCCTTGACCGTTGCAGACGCTGCATGGGAAGAGGGCGACGCCAGAGACCCCCAGCTGCGTGCCTCGCTGGAGGAGATGCTTTGCTAGGGATTTGGGATTTAGGGTTTGGGGTTTAGGGTTCAGGGTTGAGGGTTTAGGGTGTAGGGGTTTAGGGTTTAAGGGTTTAGGCTTGTAGGCTTGCCTTACGGCGTTCCAAGGAGGATTGTTTTTTGTTATTCTTATGGTG